AAAAAAAAAAAAAAAACTACCTAAAGGTGAAGTTCCCTAGTAGCAACATTTATGCAAATCCACACATGAACACCTTCATTTTTAAGTAATCTTTTAACCTTATTTTTCTTCCTAAAATTGCAATATTTATCCTATCTTTTTTATGTTTTTCTTTAATCTTTTTCTTTAGCTAACTTATTGCGTAGATAATTTTATCAAACATTTTTATTTATACGGAGATCAACATTTAACGATAAAAGATTCACATTTTTCTAAAGATTCTCATAAGTACGTATTTTTTTGGTTACAAAAATTATTACAAACGAATGGCAGGTCGATTGGTTTAATCATACAATAATTTGTGATGAAGCCAATTTATAGCAAAAAAATAAAATTAATATTGTAAAAATTGGCTTCATCATCTTTTCTTTTGTGCTTCAAAATAATGAATCAAAATTATCAAGCTTTCACACTTCAAACATGAGAAGACCTGAGGTCCAAATTGTGTGTGCGTGTGTGTATATTTTTGCCTTTTCAAGCCTTTAGATCCCGCCGGACATATCCACCGCCGCCGCCAACCGGTGGCGCCGCCGCCCAATCCAACCCAAGTTAATTGCTCCAATTAAAATATGAAAGTTGTGGGACCTAATTAAATGTTGTGCCTTTGAACTACTAACATATTTCTCACATAAATCTATCTACTAAAACAATAAAACATACATATCTGCCCAAATGCGGCCACCTCGAGCACACAGCCACCACTTTCCACGGCGGCCTCCGGCTGAGCAGCCGCCGCCGCCACCTCCTCCATCCGGTCCGCGGCCTCCGGCACCGGTAATTGGCGTGTCATATTTTTCAGTTATTAAATTAATTTGCTGCGATTTCTGTAAATTATTATTGTCGTGACCAAATTCGTCATACTATTTGGGAACTTACATTCCCAAAAAATGCGAGCTTTTTTCAGTCCGATTATTGCTGCAAAATTGTACTATCAATTAATTAAATTAAATAATGTAACGAATTGGAAAAACGTCAAACTTTATAAAACTAAAAAATTTTGTTCCTCATAACTATCACCGGCGGCCCAAGGCTGAGCCGCCGCCGCCGACATCACCGTCACCGCCCATCTCAACTCCAATTATTTACTGTGCTGTAAAATTTATGAGGTTAAATCATGCTCTTCTTTGCCCGCTCCATTTTTTATTAATTAATAAAAAAATAATTTACGAAAGCAATAATTAGTAAAAGAAATTATTAAATTAACCATAGAAAAAACATTCGCCGGAAAACTCAACAGGAAATGTAACAATCAGTTAATTAAATAATGTAACGAGTTGAAAACGATCCAAAATCCAGTTATAATAAATCAACAAATCATTTAATA